CGTAACATGATCTCTCTGGCTTCGACGAAATGACATCTGGTTTGCTTTTAGGTTTGCTACGACGGAATGAGTCATTCTTAATACTTTGGTTTTGAACACTTGGTATTTTCGATTCATTAGACTGAACTTTAGGGTTATGTATTTCAGACAATGATTTTCCTCGGGATGAAAAATATAAATCACATTCTCGCGCTAATTGTGTTGGATTAAACCATGTTCTCCCCTCGCGAACACCTATGTATTCTTTCCTTTTGAAATCCAAAGTTTCATACAATTTATCTGCAACAATTAAATCAAATAACTCTTTAAAATCCTTTTGTGTCTCCCTAACCTGACAGTAGTATTCAAATGCTGCGGTCAATCGCGATGCAAATTGAACATGCGACTCGTTTGCTGCGCGTTGAGCATGTTTAAAGGTGTTCAGAATCTCTCTTGGTGTCGGCTGAAATTCAGATAAAAACAACTCTTTTAGTTTTTCGTAATTCGACAATTCTTCAGTTGCATACGTTAAAACATTATTCGCTTTAACCCCTAGCAAATTAATTAGTATCTCAGCTTGTAAGTCTTTGGGAACTTCTTTGGTGGCAAAAGCTTTTTCCAATGAAATGAAAAACAAATGCAATGCCTCTGGCCGCTCAGGAACAGAGATTGTAAGCTGCAACAGTATTGTTTTAACACTTTTCAGTTGTTTTACACTTTTCAGTTAATTTTCAACACTAGTCTGTGCGTTTCTTCTATCACCCGATAATGATTGTGATTTAAAATTTTTTAGCTCAATTTGCTTCTCAATTTGGGCTAATTTAAGACGTTCGATTTCTAACCGATAGTGTTCATTACTTGTCTTAGGCGTCCGATCCTCAACGATCGATTTGACGACGCCACGAACAAATTCAATGTTCGTTTTGAAGACATCAGAATTTTCTATAATTTTTCTAATGTCAGCTTTTTTAGCATTTTCTGGAACATTCTCTCCAATTCTTTCAGCAATTAATTTTAAATCACTCTTGTTTGAATTATTTAAGAAACTCATTTTAAAACGAAACACAAGTATCACTATCTTAAAGAAGGAAACGTTTTCACAGTACAAGGAAAAGGAAAAGTTTTTGAAGTTCGCCGGCTTGGACCCCCCATAGTTGTGAGGGTGACGTCTTATCATCAAACAGAGATCACACTCACGATCAAAGTATCAGGTTTTTATTCCCTGGTTCATAGAAGAAAAGATAAACGGAATGAGTGTGTACAAATGGATTAAATATGTTTAGGAGAGTAATCAGAACACTGGTTCCAGTAGAGATGTAAAAGTCACAGCTGACCACCTACGTGCGGTCACTTTAGATAAGTTCCAAGTCCGATCGCCTACGCGCGAGCAGTAAGCGTTTATTTGTAGCTCCTTCGCGAGCGTTCTGTTAGACCGCTTCTGTGGAACTTCTTAAACCAAGTGAAGATGTGTTTACCTGGAGAGTTCCTACAGAGTAGAGATAGATAGCGACGTCTGGTGCTTCGTTGAGGCACGATTCCCACATATATATGCAATGGAAGAAGAAGAAAGGACGAGTAATTGTAAATTTATGTACAGCAATACCTCGCATGGTCCGGCTTCAATTAGTCCGTATTCAATGTAATCCAGATTAAAAATTTCAAAATAAACGGAATTTTAGTTGAGTAAAATAAACATAAACTCTAAAAACATTGTTCGCAAAATTAATTTTACATTTAAACTGAATTTTTTTATTATATAATCTAGTCTTTTTTTTATTGTTAGATTTTAAAGTTATGCATTACGATGCAAATTTCAGTTTTCTCTGGGCTTCGCGTTGTGTGTGTGGTTCGAAGTCTGTTCGTTTTTGGGCTTTCCCAATCAAGCTCCTATGCTCAGGCCTTTCATTCTTGCACTGTTGCTAAACAACATTTGAGGGACTATCAATATTATCATTATTAAAAGCTGAACAAGTATAAAAATTGCTCGAAAAATTGAGACTTCGTCTGAGAATGTTATGGAAATGGATTTAAAAACTGAAATTAGCTTCACATTTAGCCGAGCGATAAACAATACAGTTGGTTGCTACAGAGAAAAGGCAACACAAGCATCTGCAGAGATCGTTATTGCAATTTTTAGACAACAGACAGTGAATTACGAAACTATGCATTTTTAAAACACTATTTATAATGCAAGCATTTAACTTCATAAATTGTGTTTTATTTGTTGAAAGGAAGGGGGAGGAGTTTTTATTTTTAACTTATTACCTTTTTATATGTATTTGGTTCTGCAGTTAGTCCGATTTCAAGCAGTTCGGGATTATGGGAGAACTGATTATCCAGATATTGCGAAGTATTCCTGTATCTCAGTTTTGAGTGAATCTACGTGAAAGAGTTTTGTTTTCAATTTAAATTACAATTTGTTTTTAATCAATCTCAAATCTGCATGAATTTTGTTTGCCACTATTGAATAATTTCGTGATTGAAATGGTATAGCAAAATTATAGCAAAACTAAAAATTTGTTTTCTGCCATTTTAATCTTAAATTATAATTTATTTTAAATATGATAAAATTCATAAAAATTGAATTTCACAATTATTAGATTGCTCTATCGGGGAAACAAGTTCTGTAAAATAATACGCCAAGTTTAACAAGTTAATACGAAATGTTTAACCGAACTAAAGAAATCGGACATTCAGGGAGCGTTTTGTGTATGAATATTAGAGAAGAGGAAAACTTACGAAGTTCAGGCGGAAGTTGCTAGGTGTCCGGTTATTTACACCTGTTTTATTGAGGGGAAAATTTTGGTTTAAAGTCCACTATTTTCCTTTTCGAATGAACTTCCACCGACAGAAAACAGACATCACCGATATAATTGGCGGAATGTATTAACTAAACATTTTATTATACTTCATCTGTTGCATGAAAAAAGAATTTAGCCTACAATTTTTAGCCTGAAAATTTACACTTTAAGCGGTTGCTGTTTCCGCCAACGCTTGAAACTGGCTTTGAAAATGCTAAAATGGACAGTAATTATGAAAGTGAATTTTTTCACCTGGCACTATATTTTGTGTAACTACATTCACGCTTCCAAATACAGTGATCTTAAAAAGTCATTAATATTTCGAATATATCTAACTATTCTCTATGAATTTCTGCCAAATATTTTTGAAATCAAATTTCATCAATAAATTAGCATCAAGTTTTAAATCTGCAATTTTAAATCTAGAATGGATGTAATATTAATTTTTGCGAGTGTTTTTAATCATTTGGGGTAACAGGGTTTATATTACCTTATAAGGTATTTTCTCCCTCCTTTCTGCATGCTTTCGGGGTGTAAAGGTAGCACACTCAGCGCGTATTCGAGTGGTCCAGGTTTGAGTCCTGGTGAGGTCATTGTTCATTTTTCATGTACTCCTGCTTCAAAGTAACCTAATGACTCTACAGCCTTAGTTGTGGTTTTCATACTCTATACGTAAAAGAAACAATTTAAGATGTGCGTCGAAGCTGAGGGCCACCAGTACATATATTAAGGCACACAAACTAGAAAATTAAAAGCAGGTTATTTTCAGTTAGTTGGAATGAAATGTAAAATTACGGAAATGTAAATTATTATAAGGAATGAAATGTAAATTATTATAAGGAATTCAAAATGCTGATATTTTAATAAATTTTTTAGATTAAAATAGTAATATGCCATTAAAATTTCTTTTATTACAAGTTAATGAAAACACTAAAGATTAAATTTAAATGCAGTGAACGTTAATGACAATTAAAATTCATGCAAGTTAATATAAACACTATGAGTACTAATCTGAAACAAAGATTTCACTGATTCTGTTTTCAGCTGCTCAAAATCTGATTCAACTGTTGTTTTAAGCTTCAGCTGCTGTGTATTCAAAAATCTCTTCATGTACAATATTCAAAAAGTATGATATTGTACAGCCATCATGATGGTTGAAATCAAAAACATTAAGAAATCTTGTCAAATTTGAGGATGGTCATGGAAAAGAATATCGCGGACTGCAGGGAGGATTGCGGATCTTAAGTTTATCCTAACGTCTTAAAAAACTGGGCTTTAAATGTAACAGTAAATTGTTTCTGGAATGTAAAGGTTTAAATGTAAAGGTTTTCTAAAATTGCATCTAGTAATATATAACATCCATTGTTTCACAAATATAAAACATGTTTACATATGTTTAGATGAGAGATTCATTATATTCTTCTTAACCAAACTTCATAAGATATCAACTAATTTAATTATTGCTAACACTTGAAAAATAATTAGAAGAGAGCTTCATCCTTAGAATAAAAGCATAATAGCTTTAAGAAATGCCAATAATTAATTCCCTGTCAACTTAATATAAGTTACCTTTATTTATAACTTAAACAGTGCCGTCATAGTACTGTACATTACTTTACTATATTTTCTCACCAAAGAAAAAAAAATGCAAAATTATATTTCTTACAGTAACGAAAACTCAAAATTTAACTTTATTTCTTTTACTGAAATAAATTTAAGTGCTCAGAATTTACCAAGCGATGCAAGATAGTTGCATCAAAATCTAACATACAAAGCTACTTTGGCATTAATAGGTGGAAATAAAATGAATCCTAAGGTTAGACATCAGAACTCTTTACAAGTACATAAGTTACAAATAATAAGCATGTTTTGAAATTTAAATTCGGTGGATAAGATGATGGAAACAAACACTAAGTAGTCTGTTGGAGGTGTATAGAAAACTGGACGTCACATTCATAACAATATGCCACACCCAATGATCATTACAAAGTAGATAGCCACAACAAAGGAATGAGACAGCAAGTTTCAGATCTGCCTACTTACCTTTAAGCGCTTTACAGATCACTTCAATTTAGCAACATTAATGGAATTTCAAGACCATTAGTAATGGTGTTCATAGCGTGAAACTCGGATCACAAAGCCTAAACAAGATCGATGCTTCTGTAAGTGAGATTGTTTGTGTTACAATTACAAAAACTAAATCGTTGTATTTTTCTTCAGAGAGTCAGCTGACAAGAAAGACGCCGGCATACTATTCAGATGGAGTTTACATGTTGGCTGGCATGGACAGGCCAAGCCCCAGGAAGTTAAGTCAAGCTCTGATGCGAGGAGAAGATGGTTTACCTTCCCTTAGAAATTTAACAGCACTTTTTACATTTTTTGGTAAGTAGTTTCATTAACCTGAACATTTAATAAATTTGAATCGATACTATCATCTTGTAGCAATATAGAACACAGTGCAGTTATTGCCGAGTAATATATAAATAATATAACAGTTGGAATACTGCGACCAAACATTATCGATTCTTGTGGCACACGTATAGTATTGTTGCCATCTTCTGAGTTTTTAAAACGAGGTAGAAAATTTTCTCAAAACAGTATTAACTCATAGATGATAAATTCTGTAACAAAAAAATTAAAACATATTATATGTACATTATATTTTATACAGTCCTAATTATGCAAAATTTACAGGGAGATTCCTTAATAAATATTTTCAAGGACTCAACTACAAATTTACTGAAATATTTAAGACAGAATAATTAATCACTGAAAATAAGCAATCCTTTTTGGTAACTGTTTATACAATTTGTAGTAAAAAATCTTAAATTACGGATTTCAAAGTAATGGAAAAATTATTTAAGTCAATAAATTCATTCTAAAATATCCAAATTTGAATGGATTTATGAAACCTTTTGTTTCTAACTCGTTAAAGTATTTTGAATTGTTTAACAGAAAATGTTAAAAAAGCAAATATTACGCAGAAACTTAGATTTCATTTTTACAGATTTTTATCATTCCCAATGCTAATGTTAAATTCAAAAAATTCTTTCTCTATCTTATTTCAAAAATCCGTTATTAGCAGAACATGTATAGGATCGAAATTTAAGGAAGTAAAGACTCTAAAAATACTTTTATCGAATATATTGTATCTCACATATATGAAAGATTTTCTTACTTTCTAGTTTTGAATTTTCTCCCTTAATACAATAAAATAACATTTTTACTTACTTAGTTTCAGGAAAAGTGCACCACAATATTATATTTACCTTTTTCATCAAGAAAGCCAATTCTTTAAACGTAGTTTTACGAAAAGTTCTTATTATAGCTTTCTGCTAATGAAAATGTATTGTGCTTAATAATATTGCGCACCAAAGTTTCGCAAAATTTCTGCTTATTTCTTTTCTGTCACAGAAAATCTTCCGTACCTGCTTGGACAACTTTGTAATTATATCATGATATGTAAGTGTTAATAATATCATATTATATTTCTCTATAGCACAGAGAAATGAATTTTTAATGGAGGAATAAAAGCCGTATGCATTTCTTACTGTCACATAATAATAATATGCATATCAAAGGCTATATAATATTACTCCCCTTCTTCTCAAACAAGAAAACAGCTACGTACCAACACTTCGCAGTGCTTTTCTTGAAAATCTGTAAGGTTTTAAGTTTATTCTCATAAAACATTGGCTTAAACAGTTTAGTTATAAAAGGTTTTGTTCATCTAAGTTACCTTTTTGTTAATCTTTTGTTTATCTAAGCAGTTCAATTTACCACAAATATGTTTTCCAGATTCTGGGTCTTATAGCGTTATAGTTTCAGAAAGTTGAGAAATTTCTAATGAAATGTAACTTTTACTAATTTCATAAGATCAATATCCGGAAACGTCCTGGATATGTATGCAACGAACGTCTTAAAAAATAACCGAAGAAGTTTTTTCAATAAATAGAGCATCATGCAAAGTTGCTTCTTTTACCCGTTTCGTCAAGTAAAGAGAACTACTCCCAAACTACTTTGACGTAGACTCATGTAGAGAAAAGTAATGGTAAAAATAATTAGAATGCACTGAAAATTAGATAAGATATTCCTTTAGACTGCAAACTGTATCTTTCCAGATCAATGAGACACTTTTTGAAACGTGCTTTGTGGAAATTTGTTGCTTCAACAGACTTCAAAGAAGGAGCTGCTTTTTTTAAAAAACCCTGCATAAATTATTGGGGCATAAAACTTGCGCAATATTGTTTCTATTTTCACATGCCGAAATAGTGTAAATAAAACTGAAATTATGATCATTTATTTAAATCATAGATATCATACTTCGCAATATGAGAATGCTTAAAATAAAGAAAATAAATATAATATCATTTTAGATTGTTGAAATAATTTAAACTTTCCAGTCTCACCAATTAAAACTGCAGACAATTATGAATTTTGACTAAAAAATGAAATCTAAATTCGTGGTGTAGAGTACCTTGTTTAAATATGCACTTTTCAACTGCATATAAAACATGAACAGTGCAATGATGATGCTATCTTCTTGCCAGATTCAAGCTCTAGATTTAAAAAGAATAACTATGCTTAAAAATGAGTCCCACATTACTTTTATAGATCAACAAGATAACCTATCAGGTACCCTATGTGTTTGTCAGAATGAAATTGGTTTAACTTTAATAATCCTTCTCATGTACAAGAAAAACAGGAAATCGAAATTTAAAGAATCTTTATCAAAAGAGTTAAGCAAAAGGAAAGGGAAACTGGCTTGAATCTCACTCAGATGATGATGAGTTCCTTCTTTGATCTAGCTTTGGCTGTAAATTTTCCACATTCCGAATCTAAAATTTGAAGCATCAGATGTGCAAAATGATAAATACCGTAATCCTGGCGTATAATTTCGAAAGTCATCTTCGTAGTCATTTATCTTTCCGAAGCATGCCTGATTTTGTTGCATATCAGATGGAGAAACAATTAACCTACAGGCAAGACACTTGTAATTATCTTTTTGTTTCAGATATCTGTTAGATATGCTTAACATGTTACACAAAAACAGTTTTCAAGAAGCACCTGCTTGACAAGAGACAAGGAGATATAACATAGAGTTTTATTAAATAGCAAAAATGATTCCTCTTTTTGTATCAATCCATATTCAAAACTTAGCAGGGCCACACAGCTGAGAAATTCAAAAAAAAAAGGAGCTACCATGCCTAAATTACACATCCCTAGTGTGACAACCAGTTGGGTAATAAGTATACTTGAGGCAAGAAAATCCAGCTTTTCAATGAGATAAGTCTTTAGTCTTTAGAAAAACGCATTTTGATGGCCACCATCCAGTTAGCACAAAGGATAATTTCTGTTCGATGAAGAGGGATGATAAAATAACTTTGAAGTTCCTTTTGAAAAGGATGATACCAGGTTTAACGATAACATCTACTGTTTCTCGTTCCGAAGTTCTGCTCAAAAGAATATGTGATTATTTTTTTCTGGGGGTGGGGACTTCCTGGTGAAGATGGAAGGATACAATCCCATCCGTCTACGTTAAATTGCGAGATGATGAGTTTTTTTATTTCTCATCAAAGCAGGTTCAATTAACTCCATTTTAAGAAGCGGAAAATTTATTTTTTTATGCTATCTCCGAGGTATATTTAAGAAAGTATTTCTTTCTGTTAAAGTGATTGCTTTCAGCCTTTAACATTCCTACATTAAGTTTTTGCTTTATAAGAAAAAAGAAGCAATTCGCAGAAATGATGCGATATAGACATCTAAATAAAGCAGTAATTGAGGCGATAATTATCTCAGTTTAAGAATGAATACATTTATCTTTTCGTGAAGCTGCATTAATCAGAGATGATGGTGAAAGTATTGTAAAGACATTAAAATAAATATACACTTTTCTAGCTTTTATAATTCTAACGGGTATTTCTAATTTTTCCATGACGATTCTGCTAAAACTGCCGTTTTCATAAAACAAATATTTGTTACTTAATGAATAAATGCAAAATTTTTGTAAGGGAAGTATGCTCTGTCAGAGATATCTTTTTATGACATAAATGACATAAACAACAGTAATTTTATTGTGAAAAGCGTATGTTTCGTTTTAATTATTGAAGTTACTATAAGATCTTATAACTTGGAGGGTGGGACCATTAAGTATTTTATGCTATGGAAAATGGCAGCAATAGACACAAAGTGTAGCTCACTTTGATTGATTGAATGGATAAAAATTTAGTAGGGCAATGCGATACTAAAATAGATAGACTGTGCTGTAAGTATTTATAATGCAGAGCGAAAATAACATAATTTCAATTATTGTTACGAAGGAGCGCGAAAGAAACAGCCATCGTAATAAAATTGATTATTTATTAATATTTTAAATATTCGGCAGGATTATATTCTGAGAATAAGTAAGTATATTTGATAACATTTCATTCCATGTGAGAAACTTTGAGATTTATGATCACTCTTGTAGTAATAATGTTTTAATGTAGAAATGAATAAATCTACACAACACTAGCATTAGAACATTTGCTTTCTACTATTATAACATTTGCTAAAATTGCATTTCTATTATAGCATTTGCTAAATTGCATTTCTATTATAACATTTGCTAAAATTGCATTTCTATTATAGCATTTGCTTAATTGCATTTCTATTATAACATTTGCTAAAATTGCATTCTATTCTAGCATTTGCTAAAATTGCATTCCTATTATAACATTTGCTAAAATCGATACCTATAAAGTAAATTAAGTTTCAATATTAATTAGCATGATCATTAATAAAAATAATTTTGATTTTAATGACAATGTTCAGCTCAAATTCCCTTAGCTTTCTACTTTTCTAGGCGACGCTGGTCTTTCATGGAGGTGCTCCCTTAGAAAACATGGCTACCTAGTGATGTATCATTATCATAATTTATGTTGTCGGAAATGTTAATCCTCAGAGTAGTCATCTTCAGTAGGTAGCTTCCGCGAGTAGTTTCACTGCATAAAGAACATTAATAAATGTTAAACTCTTAATGCCCGTTTAAAGATTTAGGAAATTTGCTCTAGGGCTTTTAATAAAATGGTAAATAAAAATTGTTTAAGATCTTCACTTTAATTGGCTGCTTCTTAATGTCTGCATTTGGATAGACTTAATGAGGACCATTTTAAAACTTAGTTTTTTTACCAGTTATGGCAGTTCTGAGACTCCACAAATTCTCAACGGTGTATATGACGCACACGTTTTTGAATTTTATAATTGCTGCTGCCTCATTTTATAAATTAAAATGGAAAATAAAATCACATCAGCATATTTTTTCAAAATTTACATGCAGTAATTTCAGTTATCTCAGAATGAAAATTCAAATGAAGAATTTATTAAATTTAAAAGATGGCAAT